TTTCTTAAGTGTTACTGGCATGGCAGTAGACCGGACATTCTTCATGGACACACAGCTGGAATCCGGTGAGTTTGATCTCTGCCTGTGGCATTTAATAAAATAGGCACAAGTGAATAGATATGAAATAATACAAATTCTAATACATTACAATTATTTGATTTTATATTGAGACCATATGAAGACTTTGATGTACAAAACCAACATATAACCGGTTAAAAACAATTGCACATCATGAAGTTGCTCTCTAGATTACATAATAAAGACTTAAAATAGTTATAAGACACTAAGTTTTGTAACTTCATCTCCTTTTGGAGAAGATTCCAATCTGAAGTGGCTGCATATTTAAAAGAGGTTTTACCAAGCCCAGTCTCTTTATTGCAAATCAAATTAGCTGGATTACCAAGACTCTCACCTTTTGTCTTTAATGGCTCTTGATTCACACAAGACATATCATGGCTGAGCAATAGGAGAGGGTCGTAACAATGCTGTCCAATGTACTTATACTGCAGTGGTTCTCAACCAGGGGTCGTCCCACTCCCTAGTGCAAAATCATCAAAATTCCAAGAGGTCCACATGATGGCTTATTTAAAATAAAACAACAGCTAAAAATCTAAGCATAGATGGGCTTATACAAGGAAGCTTAATATTAAACGTGTAATTTCCAGAGAAGTCAAGCACATGAATTAAAATACCACTTTCTTGTTATGGCAAACTCTAAAATATGTTAACTGGAAGAAACTGAGTAAAAGTATTTTTGTCCCACTTTATATTAAGTGGCCCTAATACCCGTGTACTTGCATAATAACTGGATGTGTACATAGTATGTAATCACAGTACACATTGGTACATAGTATCTACAGCTGTAATGTTTGTGTAACTACACATATGTAACAACCCACTGAATGGTATGTGCAAGTACAAATGTGTAACAGGACTAACAGCACTTTTTGGTAAAGAAAGTGTTACACTTTATATTAAGTAAACAATTCCTATGGATTTAACATGTAATTACTCTGATGTTACACAGCAGTGGCCAGTAAGTTAGGCTTTACATATAAATTGTGGTTGGTGTCCAGAATGTTACACTTTATATTAAGTGGACAGTTCCTGAGGAGTTACCATGTAAGTACACTGGTATTACAGTGGTGCACCAACTCCACCAACTTGAGATCCAACTCCTCCCACTTTACATATCCCTAAACCTACTGTGGTTACATACTACGTACACATTTAGTTACTATGTAAGTACACGGGTATTAGGGCCACTTAATATAAAGTGGGACCAGTATTTTTAGTATTCTTAATTCTAAATGGTATTCCTAATCCTTATCCAGTAAATCCAATCGTGTTAATGGATATAAACACAAAGTTCTCTGTTAGTTCATATTGCATGAACTAAAAAGAACATTCAATTTTCACAATTTTCCATGTTATAAATAGCATCTAAAGACAGTCATCTAAATACAGAGAGTATGGACATTTAATTTAATTAGCCTATGTGAAATACAATAAAAACATACATATACAATAAACAGATATACAATACAGGATAGATACATATCTATAGCAATTCAAATTTTATATTTGTTTAATTTACTTTAAGTATTTGATGGTTACTGACGTTAAGTCACTTTCATGTGCCATACGTGTTTTCAGAATGTTCCTGGTTTTCCAAGATTTATGAATCATGATTTTGTGTATAAAATATTTGGCCAATGTTACAATGTTATTGTAGTAATTAATTGGCGGGGGGGGGGGGG